TACTCCGTGTCAGCGCTGTCTGGGCAGAGCCAGTGCTCAGCACAGCACCCATTGCCTCCGTGTCTGCCAGAGGACTCCGTACCTGCTGGCTTTGTTGGAGGGTCCGTGGGACCGCTCCGGCCTTTGTCTCCTGTCTCCGCTGGAGGGTCCGAGGGACCACTCCAGCCTTTGTCTCCTGTCTCCGCTGGAAGGTCCCAGGGGCCCGTCCGGCCTTCGTCTCCTGTCGGCGCTGGAGGGTCCAAGGGATCCGTCCAGCCTGCAGCGCCACCGTCTCCGACTTCCACGCCGCCGCCTGTAGCAGCCTCCGAGCCTTCAGCCTCGCCTGCAGCAGCAGCTTCGTCCACGCCTCCACCTGGTCCAGCTTCAGCTTCAGCTTCTGCCTCGCCTGGTCCAGCTTCAGTGTCTTCGGCCTCATCTGTTCCAGCTTCAGTGTCTTCGGCCTCGTCTGGTCCAGCTTCAGTGTCTTCGGCCTCGCCTGCAGCAGCCTCCGAGCGTTCGGCCTCGCCTGCAGCAGCCTCCGAGCCGTCACCCTCGCCTGAAGCCGCCTCCGAGTCTTCATCCTCGCCTGCGGCTTCGTCCACGCCGTCGCCTGGTCCAGCTTCAGCTTCTGCTCCACCTGGTTCAGCCTCCGCTTCGCCTGGCCCAGTCTCCGCTTCAGCTTCAGTCTCTGCTTCGCCTGGTCCAGCTTCAGCTTCATCTTCACCTGGTCCAGCTTCAGCTTCGACTTCGCCTGGTCCAGCTTCAGCGTCGCCTGGCCCAGCCTCCGTGTCTTCGCCTTCAGCATCGCCTGGTCCTGCCTTGTCTGGGTTTGCGGTTAATTGGCCACCTTCCAGGCTACTGGTCGGGCGTCATCGCCGTCGTGGGCGGCCCCTGGACCCCCTTTGCCTGAGTCGCTGCCGCTGCCTTCCGCACGGCCGGCCCCCGGACCCCTTTTGCCTGAGTTGCCGCCGCTGCCTTCCGCACGGTCGGCCCCCTGAACTGTCTGCTCATCGCCACCGTTGCCGTCCGCACAGTTGGCCCCCTGAACTGTTTCCACACCGACGCCCTTGCCGTCCGCACGGTCGGCTCCCTGAACTGTCTGCTCATCGCCACCGTTGCCATCCACACGGTAGGCCCCCTGAACTGTTTGGGCTCCTGTGTTGTCGGCCCCCGTGGCCGGCCCCCTGAAGGATTCTGTTTTGGACTTTGTTTTCTTGAGTTCTGGTGTGTTTCTTTTTGATTTTTGACTCCTGTTTTTGTTTTGCCCCGTTTCCCCTGCCTCGTCAGCTGTGATGTCTTCCAGGTGTGTTCCCCTCCTGTTTCCCATCCCCTGATTCCTGGCGTGTGTATTTATAGTGTGTGTTACCTCGTCCTCGTTGCTGGTTCGTCTGCGTTATTCCCTTCCGTCATTCTGTGTTGTTTACCTCGGTCTCCCTGCGCCTCTCCGTCCGTCCTCCCTGCATCTTCGTTCTGGTTTGCTTTATTAGCTCTGCCCAGTTTAGGTTCCAGTTTCATGTTCCCCCGCCATTGCTGTTTGTATCCACTACTGTTACTCACCTGCACCAGAGCTGCCGCATTTTGGGTCCTTTCTACTAACTCCACACGTCTGCCACACCGGACGTGACACCTGTGTAATGGCAAAAGAACTCTTGAAACATATGCAGTACTTGACAACGGCTCCCAATGTACCATGCTTCTGACATCAGCAGCGTAGCATCTCCACCTAACCGGGAAAGCTGAAAACGTATCACTCAGAACTGTCTGTCAAGAAGTTGAAAGCATTCAAGGTTCTTTAAGTTTCAAGATCTCGCCCATTGCACAACCAGAGAAATCTTTCACAATTAATAATGCCTTCGCTACAAGTCAGTTAGCACTTTCAGAACACACCTACCCTATATTCTCGCTCCAAAGGAAATACAAGCAGTCCAAGGTATCCCATTACCATCTGTTAATAAAGTAGCTCCACTACTGCTTATAGGCTCTGATCATACTCTCCTTATCATGCCTACTACTCCAGTGAGACATGGTCCATATGGATCTCCTGCAGCGGTCAAAACCCACTTAGGATGGACACTCCAAGGTCTGATCACAGACTTCCATCCCCAGAGTAGTTACGCACATGTCCAGTGTGTGTTCACATCTTTCAGTTCAGGTTCAGGAAAACCGCTCCAGCACATCCTCATGTCCGCTGATGGCTCTAGTGAGTTCGTTCAGCCACCTCCTACTTTACCATCACCAGTTCCACCGCCTGTGGCTGCCATGCCGCCAGATGTCAGGGCACCACCTGGTCCTGCCTCACCTGGTCCTGTCTCTGCCAAACCCAGTGCCTGCATGTACTAACCATATCACTTGTGCTTATTTAAAAAAGTCCTTCTAGGCAAAACTGAGTTATAGTTGTCACTTTGTAAGAGACGGTCTGACCTGACCACTATTCAACATGAAAACAACATGGCATCCAGTTTTAAATGGGGAGATGACGCATGGGGATTTCAGTCTTGTTTTCTGCAGAAGTACTACTTGCGTGTGGGGAAAAAATGCTTGTGGGGAAAAAATGACTTGTGATTCCATGTGTTACACACATTCATTATTCACTAGTCAACACTGAAATTAATCTGGATTGGCCATCAAAGACATTATTTAAATACAGTTTGTGGTTCATTTTAAATAGCGTGTCCAGACATGGTTCTTTATTATTAGCCTATTATAAGCTGAAAAAGTTAGTAGATTATTAAGATAGTTTACTAGCTTAGTTCAAATAAATACCTGACTCTGTAGTGGCTGCACCACCTGACTATTACCTGCTTTTTTTTTCTGTGTTCAACAGCTTTATCTTCTGCACATTCATGAAGCTCAACCTGATGCTCAAGTTTCGGACATTTGGAAACCTGACTCGAGCATCCTTGCAGGGGTACTTTGCTGGAGGCCAGGACATGCTTGTCTTGATCTGTTGGAGTTGCAGTCTAGCAGAAACAATTTGACAAACTTCACCTCATCTGGCGGTAGTTTATGTTAATACCACAAAGTGACCAATTCATCTTAACCTAATGTTTGTGCTTGTTTTTAGAAATGGACCAAATTTGGGCAAAAATATCCTCCTACATTGAACACCAGACGACTTTAAGGAAGTTAAATCCATCTCTCTGTCTGTCTGTCTCTCTGTGTGTCTGTCTGTTTGTTCAGTTGATTGATCTGTTGTAAAAGGGGCCCAGCTGGTAGAACTGTGGACCTTTAGCATCTCTCAGGAGAACTTGGATTTGGGAAACAAATTCAAAGTGATCCAATGTGATCCCAACGTCCTTCTGGCTGAGAAACTGCTCCAGTCTCGGGGTTTAAAAGAGACCACACCTCTGGCTGCAGGTAAGCCCAACGAGAAAAAACTGTTAAATTTTAAAGAAGTGCTTACATCTCTTAAATCATCATTTGCTGACTTTGGGTTGGCAGATTGTGGATTATCTTATTGAACAGGGCTGCAGTGCATCTGGACTAAAAAATAATGTGCAAACTTGGCACATAACCTGTTATTATGATACCATCATCGATCAGTGTATAGACAGAGTGAACTTGCACTTTATATGGGTGCATAAACTGGCATAATCCATTATTTATATATATATATATACATATATTTTACATAACTCAAATTTGAACCTCTCTTTATACTGGCGATCATGTATCTTGCATTGTTATCACAGCACACTGTAAGTGTTCTTTTATTTCTTTTTTTCACAAATATGTACTATGCTTGGTTTGTATTTGAAGCTATTAGCAGTGCTCCAGTGAGCTTTGCTTAGGACAGTGATTTAAAACAGACAAAGGAGGATTATGTAACGCATCCGCAGCTTTTAATGTGACAGATTAATATAATATGTTTCCTCTGCTCTTTCTGCTAATCCCTCCTATATCTTTTGGTGCTCATAACGGCTATACTTTTTGAGATATTAAGCTTTTTATGCCATTTTCTGGCCCATTTTGATGTATGGACCACATTACAAGTGTGATCACTGATTTTGCTCACCGGAGTGAGCTGTGTTTTAGCTCAGTGAGATGAACAGTCATTCTCAGAGCATGAGGCCCAGGTTCGAATCTCGCCCATGACAACATGTTTTCCGCAAATACTTCAAGCTGATGGAACTTCAGGTTGTGCAGCCTGGTCAATATTTCTGCAAATTTATTAGAATTCTGCAATGTTTTATTATTTTAGCAAATTTTCTAATATCCATTTCAGCTTTTTCACCTCTTTCCAGCACAAACTGAACATTTATTCTCTCATCATATCTCTCTTTGGGATGAGAGCTAGTTTGGCTCAGTGAGATGAGCAGCTGCCGTGAGACATGGTGGTGCAGGTTCGAATTCTACCTGTGGCTGTCATAGATCTTCTCCATTTGCTCTCACTGTGCTTTATTGACACTGTTCAGTGTTTGCAGCAGTTTCCAGCAAACACTACAGTTTTTTCAGAAGATATTTCTCCTTCTGCTGTTTTCAGATTCCAATACACAGAATTCACACTGCATTTTCACAGGAAATGCAACTTTTTCTAGTTCTTGTTGCTTCCGTACGTTTTTTGGCCCTTAACTGGCCCCACAGTTTTTATCCGATTTTTGCCATTCAAAGTTTAAAAAAATCTGCCCTTTCTGCTTATGCTGGCTACATCTCTTCTATACTTTATGAGATATTACATTTTTTATGCAATTTCTTTTGCCCATTGAAATGAATGGAGCACATTATCAGTGTGGCCACTGATTTTGCGTGTCAGTGTTAGCTATGTTTTAACTCGGTGAGATGAGCAGCTGCTCTCATAGCAGGAGGCCCGGGTTGAAATCCTGCTTATGGCAACATTTTTTTCAGTTAACAGTTAAACTTTTTTCAACACAAATTTCAGCTTTTTAAGCTGTTTTCAGCAGAAACTTCAGCTTTGTTACCTCTTGTCAGCAGAAATTCTGCTGATTCACCTCTTTTTGCTCACTTTAGCAGAATTGTCAGTTTCTTCATCTCTTTTCAGTTTCTGGAGAACCAGTTTGGCTCAGTGACATGAGTAGCCGCCTTGAGACCAGACCAAACTTCAGCTTCTTCAGCTCTTTTCAGCAGATTGTTCTCCTTCTTCTGCTGTTTTCAGATTCCACTACAAGGCATTCACACTGCATTTTTGCAGGAAATGCAACTTTTTCTAGTTTCCTTAAGTCCTCTCAAGACAGTAAATACATTTGTCAAGATGGAAAAGCTTTCCTGTACTTTTTTTTTTGACATTTTGTGCATGCACAGATGACACTTGTGTGTCCCTTTGAGCAATACATCAATCAGTGGTGCAGCTGTATCACAGGAGACTCCATTCAGTTGAGAACGTTCCGAGGGATGCATTAGGGAGACTCTGCTGCTCTTCAAAGCTTCCTTTAAGAACAACAAGGTGGCTGTTCATAGTATTTCTTATTATGTGAAATCATTACAACTTTTTTTCTTGAAAATTAACTAATCTCTCATCAATTTAAAGGTCCAGATGAAATTTAATAGAGCTTTTCTTAATGCCATGGATGGAACCGGTATGTTGCCTTTAGCCTTTAGCAAGGTAAGCTAAAATGTTTGTTTTTCAGTGTTACAGTGTAAAATGAATGCATTATACATGTACTCTGGTATTGTTTCCCCTGCAGAGACCTGGGACCACTGCTTCTTTACAGCCCAGTGAACTATCCAGGTTTGAAAACCATCATACTGCAAACCCTGTCACCCTGCAAGCTGTCCGCTGTCTTCAGCCAGGCAACAAAGCCAGAGATGAAAATGGATGGCGCTTGTCATCAGCTCCAGACCCAAGGAACGGAGGAGGTGAATGAGCCTTTTGCACAAGCCTAACAATTCTGTGCTGAGCTGGGATTTGACAGTGCACTGAATCAAATACAGGTTGTTTTAAACGGCATATCAACAGAGAAAAAACAAAATTATTTTCCCACAGTCAGGATGAGCTGGAGCTGCAGTAACTATAGAAGCAGAAATAGATTAAATGGTATTAAAAATAAATGGCATTGAGCATGCATATGATTGCTTTAGCTTTAGATGGATCTGGTTCTGTCCAAAATACCATCGGCAGCCACATGTAGTGTCTTGTTTGTTAAATCTGTCAAACTGCCTGCAGGATTGTGATTTTATGGTGATATTATGCAGGAAAACAGGAAAAGATTATTACTTCTATATGTACCTATGTGTTTTATGACAGTTTGGTATTGAAAAATAAAAGAAAGAAGATATTATGCAGGAAAACTATTAGTCTGTGGTTACACTGACTTGTTTTCTTCTTTTACAGTTTTAGAACAAGCTGAACTGAAGTGAAAGGGAAATTTATTTTGTTGGCTGATTTTCTTTAAGAACGCCAATGAGCATATTGTATATGTTACACTTGAAGATAAAGTGGTTGCACCCACAGCTTTTTCTGACACTATATAGAGCGACCTAAAATTTTCTACCAATGAACACTTCTTTGATAACAAGGAATAGATAGGTAACTGAACCCATGGCACTGAACCTGCTCACAGTGTTGTGTGTCTCTACAGAAATTCCCCAGTTTAGAGAACCTGATTCCCATCAGACACTGCATCCTGCAAAGGTGAAAACTGTCATTCTGAAGTCTGAGAAACTACATCCAAAACCCCCTGTGGAGGGTAAAGACAGGTACCCTGTACACAGTGATACAAAAACACAGACAGGCCCAGACACACACACACACACACACTCTCTCTCTCTCTTCACGGTGCGTGTCAGTTTACAGGTTGAGTACATGAGAGCTGAGCACTCAGTGTTGGCACATATTGTCTCTGCCCTGGGGATGCATACTTGTCTATTAATGATGCACAGCTACCTTCCACGCACAAAACTGTAATCTGGCTAAATTGTAAAGGTGAAAGATTTATCATGATATACGATTCTAAACCCACCGGAAGGCAACTTTAAAACCTGTAATTTATAAATTGTAGATATGGTTAATTATGTCTCATTTTAAATGCACCACTGCTGTTTATTTTTATGTTATTTTATTTTTGTACTTTTCCATCATCAAGTACTTCAATAATGTGCCTTGGCAATAATGTGGATTGCAAACATATTAACCAGGATGAAAGCTTTCATGAAAAAGTTTACTATTTAATTAGAATTTCATTTTCAAAAGGAACCCACAGTGGTGAATATCAAATGACAAAACCACATACTTACAAAGAATTCATTGTCATCTGTGTGCAGTACACAGTAAAGTATATGGCTCTACTTTCAGGTCCGCCACCACCAAGTCACCCCATGAAGCCCTGCCTAAACTAAAAGAGCACTCTGTGAACTGCTCTGGGCAGGCAAGTATGTGCATGTGTAGCTGCTTTCATGTAAACATGCGCTTCAGCACTGTCTCAACTTGACAACACTAGTGCACTGTATAATTTTATCTTTCTGCTTCAGATGTTTTTCTTATCTTGGTAAGCTAATGGATATTATTCATCCTCTTTTCAGGCAGCATGCCCCTGGTAAATGTTGACCTAAAGTTACTTTTATTAAAGGATTTGTTTGTTTTTTTACTGGAAATGACACAGGCATCTCCCAAAAGATAATAAGAATATGTACAAGAGGCATCATTGTGAAAAAAATATTTCTCAGCTTTTATTTACATTTGAGCAAAAAGTGTCATGTCCAGAATTATTCATTCCCTTCTCAATAATCAATAGAAATGCCTTTATTGGCTATTACATCAATCAAACGCTTGGTCTGCACTCTGAAATTTGGAAGCAAGACCACAAAGTTGTGAAAGTAAAGAAAACAAGAAAGAAAAAGAACAGACGATGTAGGAGCACTTTGTACACGATGTAGACCTCATAATAAAATATAGTTAATAATAAATAAGGGTGGAAGGGCTATGGAGATTAAGGGATGGAGACTGCACATCTCTTGGTGTTCCCCTGGACAAGCTAGAGGAGGTGGCTGGGGAGAGGGAGATCTGGGCTTCTCTGCTTAGGCTGCTGCCCCCGTGACCCGGTACCGGATAAAGCGGAAGAAGATGGATGGATGGATGGATTGCACATCTGCCGAAATATTGCACAGGAGGAGCAGAATATTGTACAGAAACAAAAGGAAACTCACAAACGCGCACACACACACACACACACACAAATAGTAATAATAATAAATAGCAAGTAGAATCAACAGAATAATTGTAAGAAACTCTCAGTTTGCATTTATGTTCCTGACAGCCCACAGGAAGAAGCTGTTCTTTAGTCTGTTGGTTTTGCACCTAATGGATCTGAACCTTTTTCCAGAGAGCAGGATGTTGAGTAGATGGTGGTTAGGATTGAGGCGGTCTTTTATGATTGCCCTTGCTATTGAGGAATATCTAGTGCTGGCATTGGAGTCCAGGGTGGAGGGTCAGTTTTTATCTTGCTGAAGTCCATGACCACTTCCTGGGTTTTCCTGGTGTTGAGAGTTACGTTATTGCAGTCACACCACTCTGTTAGATGTTGGATCTCATCTCTGTAGGCGGTATCATCATCGTCAGTGAAGACCTCCATCAGAGTGGTGTCATCTGCAAATTATATGATAGTGTTGCAGGGAATGTGACAAAGTGGAGGAGCAGTTGCAATGCTCTCAATTTATCCCATATGTGTTTACCTTATTTTGCACATTGTACACATTATTCTGTTTCTATGTATTTGCTATGATTTGCTATTTGTCAAGTAACATTGCTTCACTCACTATCCCGGGTTTGTTTGTGTAAACGTTATGTTGCCGGGAAATCAAACATTCTGCAAATTTCTTTATATTTCTTTATAGTTTATTATGTTACAGATTAAGTCATTTGTTCATACTTACTTTGTTTGTCTTTTTAGTCTTCATGAGGGTCAGGTGTGGGGAAACACCCGCCTGGCATTTCCTCATTTTAAAGTCCTGATGATGTCACATATGACATCAGCAGGTCAAACCAAGTGGAGGGGTTTCTTTTTCCATAGAGATTCTTCCTTTTGTTTGTGTTAAGGTTTAAAGGGATGTTTTTCCTTCCGTTAACTGCCATTTAGTTGTGTAAATGTGCATGTTAGAAGTGTGTAGAGGTTTTGTGTTTTTGGATCATCTGTGTAGAGTTTTAGATCTCTCAGTTGAGTGAGTGGTACTGGCTGGGCTATTGGAGGGAAATTGATGGCCCTATTTAAAGCCAGTCTCTACCAGATGCAGGAGAGGGGAGAGGTGAGCTGTGTCACCAGATCCATGGGTTGGTGATAGAGTTTATTTGGGGAGGAAGTTTTGTTAAGTTACATTAAATTAAGTTCACTGTAAATAAATTGCTCACCTTGGAAACCTGAAATGTCTGCATAGTCTGCTTCCCTACCACCTTCCTTGACGTTCGAGTCTGACTACTTCACAGGGAAGTCTAAGTTTATCAGCTTGGCTATGAGGATGTCTGCGATGATGGTGTTAAAGGCCGAGCGCAAATCAATGAAGAGCATCCTTAATGAAATCCTAGGAATATCCAGAGTGGAGGGCAGAAATTGCATCCTCGGTGGACCAGTTTGCCTTATAGGCCTTGTAGGCAAACTGGTGGGGGTTTAAGCTAGGTGGGAGGCAGTCCTTAGCAACTACTGGAGTCAGTGCAATGGGTATGTGGTCATTTACTGTGATTAGGTTACCTGGTCCATTGACACC